GCGAGGTTGCGAGAGCGTCTGGCCGCGAGTTCTTTCCGTTCGCAAGCCCTGCGGGGTCATCTTGGTAAGCTTGTCTCCGTCGTGTCTGTTGGGTTGAGCCGTCGGGATGAGACATGGTAGGAATGCGATAGAAAATGAATGCTTGGGACGCGAGACGCGCTCAGTTACCCTGCCCGGGCGCCACTGCGAACACGTCCGCGCGTGTGACCCGTTTAGGCAGCTGACGTGGTTCAAACAGAATCAAATCAACGATACACCAGGGACACACTAGTACTCTCTGGCGCATGTTCGCACTGGGATAGTACAGGTATCTGTGGTAATAATCTTTACACACAGCGGAGCGACGACGAAACCACATAACCAACGAACAAACGTATCATAGCACTACGGAATTCATATATACGCATGCGGATGCGACGGGCCATAGTAATCAAAGGATCCTCCCCTAGCCGCACTGTCTGGCATCTCAATATACGACAAAGGCGTCATGGGCGCGGTAGCTCGCGCTGAGAATCACTCCAGGAGTGTTCCGGTGCAATTGTACGCAACGGCGCCGTCCTCGCTCGGGCAGTCTGAACGGAAGAAAGGTTGAGTGACAACTACAACGTAAGCTAGAGCGGCTCACCCAGATACTCCTGGCAGCACGCCGCATACATGTTCTGGTACTCCTGACTCCCGCTAATAGACAACAGGTCAGATGGGGATGCAGTTTCCAGCGCAGATACGGAGAGGTAGACCTACCACTGCGGTATATTGCTTTCACACCCAGACGCAGTCAAGAGACTGGTGTCTGGGACTGTCACCCCGCATACATTCTCCCAAACATACTCGTTATCACTGAAAGGCCCTAGGCTGACGCAGCAAAGCGACAACGGCATCGCTGAAGGGCAAGATGTCTGGGCCGCTGTGACTGCGGCCAGCGAAAGGAGGATAGCAAGTGAGAGAGGCTGCATCTGGTGAATTGAAAAAGCTCGTGTTTCTGGTATTCTGTGGGACTTAGCTAAGACCTTTATATATTCTCAAGCAGGGCTTTCCTCACCTGTATGCAATGCACGTTCTGGGCGTTCAGCATCAAGGCACACCGCCAGGAGAAATCGGGCATAGACAGGATGGATGCGCTTGTCACGATGATTGACAGAACATCCAGCCACCTTGAATATCTCCGATGAATGTAAAGAATGAGCACGCGGTATTATTCCTCCGACTCCGATGTCGAGCATATCCGACCTTCGGCGCATCAACAGGTGTTGAATGTGTACCTCGGGTGAACTGGCCAGGTTGGCGCTCAGGAGGATGACCATGCGATGCCCACCGACGGTCCCGAGCCCATTCTAGGGCATCCGACCGCATACCATCCATGGGGGTGTTGCAGTCAATGGATCCCGGGGCTACGTAAGTTAGGTTGGAGCGAGGGCCTAACCTAGCCTGCTCCCGAGCAGACTCGCCTTCAGTTTAGCAGCTCATCTACGCACCTCGCCAATCATACCGTCATCATAGCCTAAGGGCCAAGTGCCCCGCGCAAGGAACCTTGCACGCAGAGCGTACTTCCCGTTTCGTGAATAAGTTAGGCTCCTGGATGACGCCCATATACGGCTCATTTCTCTGGACCGGGTTCCCAGCGGCTTTCAGTTTCAGCTGCGTGCAGTGGCAGCTTCAGAAACCGTGCTTTGTCCGCCACATGGTGCAGAGCAGTTTGAGAGCAGTAGCTATCGACTGCCACCGCCGTCCCTCTGCAAGAGGTGAATCCGCGAGACGAGGGTCAGAGTCAGAGTTACTTACAAGTCTGCGAACTTTCAAGTTGGCCCCCACCGTGACACTGGGCCACAGACGCTGGTCATGACAGCTTCCGTCGCGGGACTGGCCAGGCATCGACCCGGAAATTGGCACTGCGCATCTCTTCCTCCGCCATCGCCACCAACGCAGCCGCCGAAACCATGGCCACACCACAGCCGTCGAACAAGAAAGCAGTACAGCACAGCGCATCACGCAGGACAAAACGAGGGGACAATGGCCTCGTGTTTGTGGTGCCGCATGCCGCGCTGATTGGCCCTCGAGTGTCTCTCCTTCTCTCCGCCACGCTCGCTCGTCCACCACGCCGCAGAAACCCCTCGCCTTGTCGTCCTCGACGCTGATAAGCACGGACCTTCGTGATTCGTGCCCACCACCGCTGCTGCGATCGAGTCGCCCTCCGGTCCTTTTCCCGAGCCATCTTCTCTTAGACTTCTCTCCCACTCTCGCCACCAGGCTGAGCCTAGTCCGGCAGTTTTCACTCTCGGCGTCGCGAGGTGCTCTCTCTGTTGCAATCTCTACCCGCGACCACCACCATGTACTTCCACGTACCTCTTATTCTCTTCCTGCTCGCCAGCGCCGCCCCATCCGAGGCCAACATCTTCGCGCGAGGCTCGGACCACATCCTCCGCAGTATTGACTCTGCACACCGACATGCGGTGAAGCGCAGCTCCAATCTGGCTCGCGACTTGCGACGCGCGTTCTCGCCCATCCTAGTGTCACAGGACAGTAGCTCGCAAAGTGTCTACTGCGTGACGGGAGATGGCCTCGCGGAGAGTGGCGGCGGGTCGTCTGGGTCTGGGTCGTCTGGGGGCTCCGGTAGCAGCGGAAGCGCGTCCGCGAAGGCATCGGGTACCGCGTCAGCGTCCGCACCTACTGCGAGCAGTTCGGGTACGGCGTCGTCATCGCCGTGGAAGTTGAAGCAGAGCTACGTGCGTGTATTGTACTGTCCGAAGTAGCGTGCCCTTACCCGTTGCGCAGGAGGGCAACTCGTTCTTCAGCGGCTGGACATTCTGGACCGAATCCGATCCCACTGATGGCAATGTGCAATACGTCGATTCCGGTACTGCTGTACGTCACAGCCCTACTAGAGGAGCGGGACGCCACACTGATCCCTTTCGCAGTCATCGGGGAACCTGACAGGTATCAACAGCGCAGGAAACGCATACATGCGTGTTGACACGACGCAGACCGTGTCGGGCAACCGCAAGAGCGTGCGTATCACGACCGACTACACGTTCTCCGGCGGTCTGGTTATTCTTGACGCCGTACATGTGCCTACTGGCTGTGGCACCTGGCCCGCCTTTTGGTCTGACGGTGCGTCGCTTCTCCCCTTAGTACCAATCTTCGTTCTGAACATCCTCTCGCAGGCCCCAACTGGCCGAACGGTGGCGAGATCGACATCGTTGAGGGCGTGAACACCCTGACTATCAACCAGGCCTCCATCCACACCTCTCACGGCTGCAATCTCCCGTCAGGGGACAGCAGCACGTTGGGCATCAGCGGAACCGTCGTGGGTGGCACCAATTGCGCTGCCGCTGAGACAGGCGATGCTGGCTGCGGTGTGCAGTCGAGTAGCACCAATTCATTTGGTGCCGGCTTCAACTCCATCGGCGGAGGTGTCTACACAAGTGCGTATGCGAGCGTATCTGTGAAGTTATCGCTCTCTTACATGATTCTAGTGCAATGGACGAACGATGGCATCAAGGTCTGGTTCTTCCCGCGCTCCTCCATCCCATCGGACATCTCAAGTGGCTCTCCTGACTCTTCGAAATGGGGGACGCCACTGTCATTCTGGCCGAGCACGGACTGCAACATGTCGACGTACTTCTACGACCACCAGGCGATCTTCGACACAACGCTCTGGTAAGTGAGGGGTGCATTAAGGGCTAGTGTGGTTGCCTGATGTTATGTGTAGCGGTCAATGGGCAGGTACTGCCTGGGGTGCGACTGGTACCGGTCAGAGCCAGAGCTGTGCGACGACGACCGGCGTGTCCACTTGCGCTGACTATGTCGCGAATCACGGCGACGGCTTTGCGGATGCCTGTGCGTACTCAGTCAATTATCGCGACAGCCTGTTTACTGACATCTCGCTTAGACTGGGAAGTCAAAAGCGTCAAGATCTACCAGGAAAGCTGATGATTTCGCCGTCTCCGTCACGAAGGTATCTTAACGACAGACACGACCAACGACACTGTACTCTGCTGTATCTTATGTTGCTTGCTTTTGGAGGTCTTGGATACGTTGCTCTAGAGGTTGTATTCATGGAGGGATCACGGTCGCCACTTTATCATATAGACATGGCCAAACTGTAATATCGCACTGCACGGAATGCGGGCCATACTGTGTTTTCTGCATTGACACATTGTTGGATCTATCAGGTTGTTTGCACTCGTGAATTCGCTGCTGCGAGGCATTGTAATGGCAGCACGGCGGGTCACACGCAGAGACGTTTCCGGGGCATGGAAAGGGCTCTTGCTCAGCATATCATAGCAATGCATACAAGGGGGTGCGCAGTTTTGGCGGTGCGACAATAGGAAACCGGGAGAGAATGCGATGCGAGGGACAGAAGACGGGACGACGACGGGGGCATCAGAGCTCACCGGGTCTACAAACACCGCTGGATGAGCATGCGAGTTCGCTTTGGTTCAAGAAACAAGAGCACATACCTTCTGGAACCCGATGGCGGCGGCCTTCTCGCGGAAGCACTGGCGGCAGAGGTCAAGGCCGTACTTGCGGATGAGGCCAGCCTGGTGCGCGCATTGGCGGCTTGACACGCCGCATATCAGCTTCCCCGCTGCTTGACTGCAGGCGTCCAGGGATACTCACCACTGGCGAGAGCCCTTGCCGTACTTGCGGGGGCGGGAGAACCAAACGGCGTCGTGGGTCATTTTGACGAGGGCTTGAGGGTGCTGGCGAGATGCACTACGGCAGACGCGACGGTCGTAAGAACAAGTGTATCAAGCACGAACGGCGGTTCACTCACCTAGGGCTGGTACTGCGAGACGACTTGCCGTTGGTGGTGACGACGAAAACAGTGTTGTCCTATACAGTGGCTCGGAGGATAAGGTTTGAAAGAGATCACGGCAGTCGCCGGACGCTCGGCTGGCCCCGGCAAAATGTGGCTGATACTCACCTCCGGGCGTCTATTCTTCGGGCCGGACCGGACGTCAAAGACGAGTCAGAATGCAAACGTTGCGAAGCCCTTCATCGCCCGCCTAGCTCAATCGGATAGAGCGTCAGACTCTTAGGTGTGGTGATTTGCGTACCCCCGCAATCTGAAGGCTGCGAGTTCGACCCTCGCGGTGGGCTAGTTCTTTTGTATCAGTGGCGATGTGCACACCCCTGCATAACTTACTTTTGGACCATATTTTGATTTGTTCGAGCATGTAGTGGTGGGTGGGGGTACCACTGGTTTTTCATTATGTAATTGCGGTACGGTATGGGCATTGAGAGAGAACAAGTCATACTTGAGAAGGCACCACACTGAACCTGAAAATTTCAATATCACGTCAACATGCATTGATAGTATATGTGCTACAGGCTCCGACAGCAACATCTTAGTCAAGCTTGAATTCAAGCTGCAAGGCCAGTACATGGTCAATAAGTCAAGCACAGGTCATACAGCACCTATCGCACTACCCTAGTTGAGACAGAGATCCCACAGACAAATTATTAGGTATGATCCACCCCAAAGTCCAGCATACACCTATCCTCCGACCTAGATCTTAACACCTCCCAAAACATGTGCAAGCGCCTGCACATCATCGACTCCATCGTCCTCGTCCTCGTCATCACCAAGGGGGAAGGCACCAGGGACCGCATGTGCTTTCGTCGGCGCGGACCACGCACGGACCGGCGTCCCCTGGGGAATGTGGATTTTGACGCTGACATCCACCTCTTTATCTGGCGTGAAGAACGGAGACGATATCGCGAGTGGTGAGTCTACACGATGATACAGTCGAGATGCAGTGAGAATCCAGAGCTGGAGACCAATCATTAACCACTCACCCCGGCCTCTGACAGACGCCATAGCGCTTCCCGCTTGACTTCGAGGTGTTTTTGGTGCACGGGCCACCGTGGTGAACAGTGGGATGAGCTTTCCGACTCTGCACGCGCCGCAGACTAGGTAGACTAATGAGCGAAAGTAGCATGGTACAAAGATTAGGACGTGCCGCATTCCTCGGGGTTGATTGACTTGCTATGACGACCGTAGCTGACGGCGTCGAACGCGAGCATCAATATACCTGAGCCTTGAAATCAGCTTCCAAAAGAGGGCACTTACATCTTGTCGCATTGCTGGCACTCTGCACAAAAGATGTCGTGCGGAAGAGACAGTCACTGAGTCAGAGCCCTAGCGTAGCATGTCAACAGGAACTTCTGCTTACTCCACTCATACTTGTACTCTATCTCGTAATTATGCTTCGTCTACAGTAAGGCAATTGTGTGAACCCTGAAAGCAACGAGCATGTAGGAGAATCGCGCACCGTGACTTCAATGTCTGGACGCGCTCGCATCACCTTCTTCGCCCTACACCCATCAGTCAGTCTTCACCAGACCCGGCATCTCGACCGCCGCAGCTACCCACCATTCCTGGAAGATGTCGCCGTGATTCTCCGTCGGAGCATCACTGATGATCCAACTCGCAAGATGACACATCTCATGCGAGAGCGTGTTGCGGATGCGCTCTGCCCGGAGGTCGAGAGTTCAGTGTAAGGTGTACGGCTTAGCACTCAGGGCACCGACCGTCGGAAGTGAGGATCTTCACAGCCAAATCAATCCTTGTGGCGTCGACTCCTTCTCTGGATCTAGAGCACAGTGAATACCGCTGGGCTTTGACTCTCGCTCACATGGCATGCGTAGAGACTAACCTATGCCAGTTGGCCTTCCCAGCGGTCGTCAACAGCCTCTTGCTCCACTTCAATTCTGTCTTGCTTGGCAAGCCATGCCCGAAAACGAGCCTGTTCATCTCGTCAAAGAACGTATTGGCATACCTCTCCCGCCGTTGTTGCTCCGCCGCCTCCAGAGCCTTCTTGCTGAGCTTCGGCGGCTTAGTCCCGTTTAACTTCTTCGGTTTGGCTGCTGGCTTTGCCGAGCGTGCGCTGGCCTCGGACTCGATATCCGTTTCCAACTCGGAGTCAGTAGAGTGTACAGACACGATGCGGCGAACGGGAGTGGAGGGCGCTGAGATGGACGGCATGGTACGGGTTGCATTGGTCGTACGAAGCGGCTTGCGTGCGCTCCGCGGTTCGTTACTGGCCAACCTATGTTCAGCGACCGCAGCCACGAATGAAGTCAAGCATGGCATACAGCGTTAAGATCGAGCCATCATTCACGTCTAGTGGATCTTCGTCGTCCGGGTCGCCATCAGCATATAAAGGAATGGTGGGTCTATTCTCGTCGTCCTGCGACGAGGTTGGGCGGTGAGACGTCGCAATGCGTGAAGTCGGCCGCGAGGCCAGTTTGGCCGGTGCTTTCCCTTTTACTGGCAGTCTCTCCTCACTGTCACTCTCTGAGGAACTGAGGGTCAAGTCGATCACTGGGCCTAAGTTCTTGGCGGAAGCTCGGGTGGTGTCAGTAGCGGTGGGTTGTGGGTGCTGCGTCTGAGAAGCGGACTTCGCATTATCGACGCCTTCATTGTCAGAGCCGTCGGAATCAGAGCTTGGTATAATGCGTCGAGCTCGGGGAGTCCTGTGAGCATCAAGCCGATGATGAATGGGGCTGCGAAGACCCGTGAGACGCGCAATTGCAGCACAAGAAAGGGGATACAGGGACCCACATGTCTTCCTCTTCATCAGAAGTCAACTCAATCACGTCTTCATTCTCTCCATCAGCAGGTGCGCGTCTCGAAGCTTTCCGACGTCTAAGTCCGGGCGTGAATGACAGTGAGCACATACTATGCCACAGCGAATGCACTCACTTGAGCCGCTCCTCCTCGCTGTCTGGCACAACCTCATCCTCCAAGCTCATCGCGCGCATTTTCTCCACCTGGCTGTCGACGAGTGAGACGTCGAACGCGACGCGCATCGCGGCTTTGTGCAGCGGTCGGCTATTTTGAAACTCAGCCATTGAGGACCGATTTGGCGAACAATGGAGAGATAGACAATGGAGGCTGCGCGGCTAGTCTGTAATGCTTTGTGGGTGCTGCACGGGTCGTGTGGCACCCGGTGGGATGCCTGTGGTGGCGAGCGGAAGCAGATCGCGGGCGGAGGCAGATCGACAACTCGAACACAACCGTGACACGACGCGTCCTCCCAGCACGTGCCACGCGTTCATCTCGATTCCCCCGCACTGGCGCCCGGCCGCCAGATCCCCATCGGGTTCTCTCTTCCACCAACCGTGACCACCATGCATGCTACTTACTACCAATCTAACGAAGCCCTGACACGATGATGGGTGATCATGAGCTCAGCCAAATGTCTCACGCCTCTCCTGGCTGGTATGCTCGTGGAAGCTAATCGATAACGTTGGAACTGGAAAAGCTAACGATACAAGGGAACAGTGATGTAGACCAAGATACATGTCCACAAGAAGACGGCAGTGCTCGGGTGATTGCAATCAGAACAAAGGTGACGTATGGCAGCATAAATGTGGCATTTCAGCTTGTCTGGTAGATCTTGACGCTCTTGACCTCCCAGTCTGAGAAGCGAGGTGAGGAAACTGAGCCACTGAGCGAGGAGACACTGTCACGCACATGCTTCATTAAACGCGGCACCATTTTTCAGCACGTAATCCGCGCAAGTCGCAGTGCTCGTCATTGAGGCGCAGCTGGTCTCCTGTCCGGGAATGCCAGAAGCGCCCCAGCCATCTCCGGCCCAAGCGCCACTACAATGAATTGTCAATAACCTACCCCTGCCATCGGTGTCACGAGTATAAGACTCACCAAAGCGTTGTGTCGAAGATAGCCGAATGATCGTAGAAGAACTCCGTCGTGTTGCACGAAGAAGACGGGAAGCTGGCGATGGGAGTACCCCAGGCCGACGGATTTGGCGCACCGGAGGTGATGTCGTTCGGGATAGAGTTGCGAGGGAAGAAGTGGACTGTGATACCGGTGTCGTCCCACTTCACTGCAGAGGTTCAGCAAATGTCAACATGCGCACGAAGATGGAGAATACGGGAGAGCGCACTCGTGTAGACACCGCCACCCATCGCATTGAATCCAGGTCCAAACGCGTTCGTCGCGGTAGATCGCACGCCACACCCCGTATCCCCAGTCCCCGATACCGAGCAATCCTGACTGCTAACCAGCGTCCCGGCGATATCCAGCGTGCTCGCGTCCGTCGATGGCAACGAACATCCAGTGTTTGTGTGGAGCGTAACCTGGTCGTTCGTGTACGTGTTCACGCCCTCGACGATGTCGATCTCGCCGCCGGCGGGCCAGTTCGGGCCGTTCGACCAGAACGCGGGCCATGTTCCGCACCCGGTGGGAATGTGCACCGCGTCGAGGACGACGAGTGCCTGCGTGTACGTGAATTCGGTCGTGATGCGCACACTCTTGCGCGTGCCGGAGACGACGGGCGTGGTGTCGACGCGCATGTAGGCGTTCCCGGCGCTGTTGACGCCTGTCAAGTTCGCAGATTGCTATTGCGAGAGGTAAGGAAAGACAGATAGAAATGTCAAAAAGGAGCACTCACAGCAGCTGATCCGTCCACATAGTCCACCGTGCCGCCAGTTGGATCGGTGTCAGTGAAGAAAGACCATCCACCAAAGAACGAGCTTCCTTCCTACAATGACTCCTCAACATTCAACACAAGCCGCAGAATTACCGACACTCACGTAACCCTGCTTGAGTTTCCACGGAGACGATGGGGCAGCAGCACTGCTAGCGGCTGGAGCCGCAGACGATGTTCCCGAAGGCTGCACCGTCCCAGACGAACCGCCCATGCTCCCTCCTCCAGTATCACCTCCACCGGTGAGCGACGATCCATTTGACGCGACGTTCACGCAATATGGCTGCTGTGAGCTTGAGCCGTCGTCTGACCGACCAATGAGTATGCTTGAGTATGCGAGACGCAGATCGCGAACGAGGCCCGCGCCCCGCTGGTGTGCACGGCTGGCCACGCGTGCAACTGACTCGGACCCGCGAGCGAGTATGCCAGCATCAGAAGGCGCGACGATGGCGAGAAGGTAAAGCAGAAGAGGTATGCGGAAGATCATGACAGCGAGAGAGAAAGATGAAGGAGTGGAGGCTGGCCGTCGAGGTCCAGGAGAGAACGAGAAGACAGCAAGGAGATGGAGAAAGAGCAATGGGTTGCGAGTCCCGGCCGGGTTGTGGAGTCGCTAAATAAGCAATGGCTCGGCGCAGTCTGGAC